ATAGGTCACCATGCATATAATTTTACATTATAATAATTCCTTTAATATATTTTAAATAAAATACTTGAAAATAAAAACTATGATAAAAATAAAACTATGACCAAAACATTAAAAAAAATTATGTAATTTATTCAATATAATTATGTTGTATTGGCAAATAGTTTGTAACCCTTGATATTGGCAAAATTATAAGCTAAACTTTAAGGAAAGCCTCCTCTATAGAAAAAAGGCAACATTACTTGAAGATAGTATATGAAGGCATATTGAAAGGTTATAAGGCACTTAAGAATATGAAAGCTATTTCTCCTCTTGGAAGCCAATGTCGCACAACCTTATGGTGATGGATGAAGCATCACTAAATGATTATAGAGACTATTTAGGCTATTCTAGATGGTCATTTCAATGAAGTTGAAGAGATCAAAATCTTTAGGCATTAGATGATTAGTGTTGAATGGTCATGGAAGTCAATAATGATGATTAAGATCTCCTCCTATTAGAGAGATCTATGTAGTATGACCTTAACATAATAAGATCACGAGGTCCACTAATGATGGTAAAATGGAAACTCTTCCAAGAAGATATGCATGAGCTTAAAACATCAAATGAGGAGATGTAGAAAGATAGTGAAGAATATTGAGGATGTTTCATACCATTCTTTCTCCCAAAAATGAAAGTGGCATGACCTTAAGTAGTGGCATACCAAGAATGTTTTCTTAATAAGAGCACATAAACTAATTTAATTATTTGTAGGGTGACTATTTATGGCCTGAAATGGTTATAGCTTCTCATGCCTTGACTGACTTAAATCCAACCTTAACCTTAAGGAGAGATTATTCTATGCGGAGACCGAATGCAGAACTTTGTTTGGAGACCAACCAGTATGCGCCATATCATCAGTATCGAGCCACGGTATGGAGCGGTACCGAGTACAAGGGTCATGTGACGTATTCTGATTGTTTTTCGGACAGCGTTCGGTGTCCGTACAAAATAATTAATCAACCTTAAGGAAGCAAGTGAAGGGATAGAGGCGACTCATGTTAATTAGACTGGTCTTCCTTTTGGAGGAAATTATGAATATAATAATCATAAATCAAATTTGATGCGACAAAAAATGATAACAATAGGCCATTATTTTATGTTAAAATAGTTTTTCTGGAGCAATCGCACTGTAAATGGCTCATGATGTAAATATTTATAAACATGCTAATTTCCCATCATCAATTAGAGCATTTTTTATCAACAGGTAGATAATCATTCAAACATCAACTTTATTCTCAACACATATTTCAAGAAGATTTAGGTTTTGTTTGGAAAGACTTTCTTATTACTTATTGAGACAACTTTTTAATACAAAAATTAAAATATTTGTACTAAAAAACTGTTTCAAAAAATAATAAGAAATTCATTCCAAACGAAGATTCATTGAAAGAATTAAAAAAAAGGCCAAAAATTCCTATGATATAGAGTACTAATTCCTCGTAGGATCTCAGTCCCAATACCATGATCAGTTTCCATCAGTCTGTCTGTGTAGCTGATCAGCTTTATAAAGACTGAGAAAACTATCATAAATATATGTAGAAATAAATAAACAATCCCTCAAATGAACTCATTGAAATCTGAGTGAGTGAGTGACTGATCTCACTCAGTGATGTTTGTTCTCCTTTTGTTTTGTCTGCTTACTGTCTGTCTAAGGTATCGCATTTGATTGGTGGGAGTGATGGGTAGTAAGGGATAGATTGACCCCTTGTCAAAGCTACCTAAAGCCTGCTTTGTGCTTTGAAGGGAATACAGAAACACAGTCAAAACAAGGAAAGGAAGGAGATGAGTGGTACACGCCATTTCTATCACCCACTTTGTGTAAAGCTGAATCTTTTTTATAAGCTGAACAAACTGATCAGGCGACAGATGGATGTGGCTTTAATGCTCTCTCCTCTCTCTCTCTCTCTCTCTCTCTGTTCTTCTCTCTCTCTCTCTCCCTCTCTTTCTTTCTCTTTCTCTTTGTTCTTCTCTCTCTCTCTCTCTCTCTTTCCAATTAATATGTGTTCATCTTCATGTATTGGACTTGGAACTTGAGCTAAGTCTCATGATTAGCTTGGCTTCGCATGTCCTTGTCCATGAAGATACTTTCTCAGCTAATTTTTCAACTGATCCGCTAGATTTTCCTTGGGCTCACCAAGATCTTTTCAATAAATATTGATGTATATATAATTTCTGTGTATTTTATTTTATTTATCACTATTGGGAAGATTTTTTTTTTATGTATAATTTGTATTCTGTTGTTGAAAAGTAAATGATTTTTTTATTTTATAGGTAAAGCTGAAAAAAGTATTCATTTTTGTTATTCAGACAAATAGTCCTCAGCTAATTTTTGGCAGCTTATCATATTAGAAAAACAAATAAAGTTCTTTCCATGCAAAATGTTCATAGAGATTAAAGGCTTCATGGTGTAGCCCTTAGACTAGCTCCATCTATGTGAAAGCTTTGCAGAAATATCTGCTCGATCACCTAATAATTTTCAATTATTAGATGCCCACTTATAAGTGTGGAGAGAGAAAGCTTCTGTACAACTTTTCATCACTTTACGGTAGCTTTAGAGTAGTACTGTCTCAACATTTTACATGAATGGAAAGGGAGATTTTTTAACTTAAGCATCATTAGCAATATAATTAACTTATTAAGGGCGCCTTCTGCCGAACTCCAAATGACGGTAAGGCGTAGCTAGTTTGCTCCATTTGAACGGCAAAAAAATTGCTAATCGGTGGAGGGTGAACAGTGCGACGTCAATATTGGCGTTGCACTATTCACCTATGCGGTTTTTTTGTCTCAACCGGATTTGCCGTAGAAACGCGTCAAACAGGAGAAACGGTTACCTTCACAGAAGCGCGTAAAATGGAGTTCGATTGGAGATGAATCACAACATTTTTGAGTTTCACTATATTTTAGAGTGAAAATGAGATTTTTGGTTGGAAATGCCCTAAATATATTAAAAAAATTAAAAGTAGGTATAATTGCTCGTTCAATGGGCTATTAGCCATGATTTGAATGACAAAAAATTTGCTAATCGGTGGAGGGTGAACAATGCGACGTTAATATTGGCGGTGCACTATTCACATACGCGATTTTTTTTCTCAATCGGATTTGCCGTAGAAACGCGCCAAACATGAGAAAATGGTTACCTTCGCAGAAGCGCGCAAAATGGAGCTCGATTGGAGATGAATCACAATATTTTTGAGTTTCACTATATTTTGGAGTGAAAAATGAGATTTTTGGTTGGAGATGTCTTAAATATATTTTGAAAATTAAAAGTAGGCATAATCGTCCGTTCAATGGGCTATTAGCCATGCACGAGCAAGATGCCCGTTGAACGAGCGACTTGATTTTTTTATTTAAAAAAATCAAATTGAAGATAGTTGTTGGGAGCAATAAATCACGACTAATGAAGTTAAGAATATAAGACAATTTTCTTAAATTAGCAGCTGAAAAGATTTTATTACAGAAAGCAGCGTAGAAAGCTTTTAATTCAGAAATGAGAAGAACCGGAATACTAAATTCCGGTTTATATAAGCCGGACAAATCTTTTCCGGTTTCTTAGTAGACCGGCATGGTTTGTTAATTCTCGGAAATTAAATTCCACAATTAGAAATTTAGAATGCGGAATTCACTATTCCGTATTTACCCTTTTTTATTTTTTTCTATTTATTATAATAAGTTGTTTAACGATATATTTAAGTCGCGAAAATTGATACAATGGTTACGTCGCAAATTTTGATAGACATTAACTATAAAAGATTATACATTTGATTGCAAATAAATTAAAATAGTTTATTTTGTGAGATCTAAGATTGCATTATGGACATTAATTTAAATAAATAAATAAAGTAAATAAAATACCCATCAACTAACCTCTTTGTTCGACGATTCGCACGCAGGCTTTTTGGGTCGTGATGGGGGGAAGACGAACGGAAGAGGAAGTGTAATTGGTGCTAGTCACCCGTTCAATGGGCGATTACTTGTACATAGCTAATTGCCCGTTCAACGGGTGATTATACCTACTTCTAATTTAAAAAAAAACATGCTTAATCAGTTAATTACATTGCTAAAGATGCTTAAGTTAAAAAATTATCCTCGATGGAATTATGGGAAGAAGGTGGAATGGCGATTGGAAAATGCTTAAGAGATAGAATTAATTTTCGTTTGTCATTAGCATATCTTGGTTTGTGATTAGGAAAAGATTAATTAATACTTGTTAGTCCATCAAGATTAATCCCCCTTTTATGAGTCTCAAATAATGTATTTATTTGCTGGTAATATAAAAGATCTAACGTCATCAGCAATTGATGTATGTCGTTGTAGAGAATTATTATGTCAACTATAAAATTGGTAGTACATATTCCTTTTTGAACAATGAACATCCCTAAAAATTTTATGTATCTTTAATGATGATATGATTGGAAATTAATGTGTCACATTCAAACTAAAAAAATATTTTTCAAATTAGGATGTTAAGAATTAGATATCAATGCAAAGAGTAAGCTCTCTATGAGTTGAAGTAGTGCTCAGATGTTCAATAGCATAAAATAAATTTACTAATATGATCCATTCAAAAATAGAAATTATGACTGATCATTACCCATTGTAGATGCTTCTTTGATTGTATCTTCCTACTTTTCATTTTATCTTTATGTAAGCCTCTTTCAACGGAGAGATTATTCTGTGCAGACGGTGAATGAAGTTCACCGTTCAGAGATCAATTAGAATGAACAACGTCGGCGGTACCGAGCAGTGCCAAGCCACGGTACCGAGCAATATTGAGCCGAGTACCGAGCAGGACTTGATGTGGTGCATTCTGGTTGGTCTCCAGATGGGCATCCGCACAAAATAATTTCACCTTTCAAGAGGGGCAAGAAAAGAGGAGAGCGAAGAACATGAATGAAAGATCAATGGTATTTATTATCAATGTGTGGTAGGTACTCAATTTACAAAAGGCTTCAAGCCATTGAAATCAGAATGACATGTTAGATTCATTTTTCTCGAATGGAAGCTCAGGCAAAGAATTTTTTCCAAGATCAGTAGACCTACAAGGTGTTTTCGCACTGGGAACAGAATCAGGTGAGCAGAGATCATTCGTGCATGCATCCTTTTGAAGGAACAACATACACACTCTTCTTTCTGGAAGAGTTTCTTCATTTACTTTGTCAACATAGAGGAGAAGCTGAACAAGCAATCCCCCAATTATTGGGAACTCCTAAATTCAAGAAGAATAAGAACATAATTCAATCAGAAATTACAAAAAGGCAACATCATTTCCAGTTCAAAGTTTAGATTATGATTTCGTTTGGGACGGTTTTCTTGCTACTTCTTAAAGCAGCTTTCTAATACAAAAGTTTTAATTTTTGTACTAAAAAACTGCTTTAGGAAGCAATTGGAAAGCCGTCCCAAACGAAGCCTAACTAACCTCTATCATGTCACAAAAGGTACCATTGGTAAGAGCAACTGGAATTCCTTGCACAACAATGTCACATCCCCTGAAAGAGTAATTAGTAAAGGTGCTTATCACAAAGAAGTTCAACCATAGAGTTTGACACCCATTCAAAGATAGGGATTTTTACATATATAACACCTAAAATTATTGAAAATACATATTTAACACATAAACTTTTATATTTACTAATATACCACCTAAAATCCCATTTTCTTTCTATTCTACCACTCCATTGAAATGATGAGATACTTGTATTCACTGTGGAAGTATGTCATTGATGGGGAAGACAACGGTTGATAGTGATTTTTGACGAAAGGTTTAAACGGTGTTAGAATTGATTAAAAGATGAGTTTGAGGTGGAACATTAGTAAATATATAAGTTTAGATGTTAAATATGTATTTTCAATAATTTTAAGTGTTATGTATGTAAAAATCGCTAAAAGATAATATACCTCTCATTGGAGCAGAGCATGATGTAGCATCTAATGATATGGAAGAGTAGACGAGGAGAAAAGTCTTGGTCAACTGAGAGAAGATTGACCTCCATGCATCGAGCACAATAAGAGAGAAGATGTTAATTAGAAATAAAGTAGAAGAAAGCAAAAGATGTTGACAATATGCCAGACATACCAAGTTCTCCCATGTCTGCATCAGTCCAATCAGTAGCTGGCATGAAGGATTGCAAATATAGGAGATTCCAAAATTGTCTCGCATTATGGCTTCAAGGATATGCATCGCAATCTGCCGCATGTGAACAACTAAAGTGATAAGAAACAAATAAGCAGTCCAAATTACAAAATGAGCATAAGTTTATCATCATGGTTTTCTTCGGTGTTCAGCATGAAATCTAGATTGGTTTAGTGGGCCATTCTTCGTAAAAGTTGTGTTTTGGATGAAAACAAGTTTGCATTTGATAGCTATTTGGAATTAAATTGAGTTGATCTTGTGTCAATTATGTCTAATAACTTAGGGATGATGGGTGTATAAATAAAAAGTTTTATGGCAAGTAATTGAAAATTTTTTATTGAATAAATATTTTTTTCCAGATTTTAACTTTTGCGTGCAATTGCAACTACCTAATTCTAGAGGTGGTCGTCACCTTGTACTAGTGTAAGGTATATATTTCATTGGTGAATTCTTCCTTCCAATGACCCGGTTAGGAAAGTAGAGGTATTAGATTTGACTTATGTTAAGAAAGATAGAGGCATACCTAAAAAGATTTGGTTAGAAAATATTAGAAATGATCTTTCTATATTAGATTTAAATGAGAATTTGACTTTTAATAAGACACAATGGAGAAAAAGGATTCATGTAGCCGATCCCACGTAGTGGGATAAAGACTTGATATTGTTGTTATTGTTGTGGTGGTGAATTCTTCCTTCTACCTAATCATGTTCTACGTATTTTATATTAGCTTGTTGGCAATGTTAAAGCCCTTATGGTCTATAAAGTGCAATAGATGACCCGAAAGTGAATAGAGTTAGTGGACTTCATGCGTTATAGAGAGCAAAATCACATGTTAATGTGTTGGAATTAACAATTATGATTCTAGTAATGGAGCTAAGAATAGTATTGAGTATACAACATCAAGCACAATCAAAGTGGGAACTACTATGATGATATTGAAAGAGCAAAAAAAAAAAAAAAATTAAGAAGGAGATTTCAAAAGATAGATAAGCATATCAAGGTAGACAATAATTTAGAATCAAAGGAGTAACACAATACAAAGGAAAAGTTTATAGTAAGAGAATCCAATGAGTTTGCGATTGATTGATTGAGGTATAACAATGCTTCAATTAACCATCACAATTGATGAAACATGCAGAACAGAGCAATGTTCAGACATAACCACTAAATAAATATATATAAGAAATTCAAACTCCATTTAGGAGATTTAAGGTGTGGAGTTAAATTTTCTTAATCATCTGGGATAAGTTTTAATCATCATTTTCAAGATTAATGGCTACCAAATTTTAATACTGTTCTAGCATATTGCACCTAGAATCATATAACATGGACTAAAACTACAAAAATAGCAAGTTTCGCACTATTGTTTCAGCAAAACAGCACCGTCTCCAGATACTGTATAAGACACGGGAATCTGCGAGGGATGCAAGTCGGACTTCTTCAACAGTACCAAAGAATAAAAAATACTTCATTCCGCACATAAGAAAACCCAAAGCAGAAGTGTTAACCAATTTGGATTATGAAGAGATCCGGCCCCAGCTAAGTAGTTCCGAATCTGCTACGATAAGCAATCCACAATCTTCAACCAATCCCATGAAACTGACAAGCTACTTATCACGGCTAGAATAAGGAAAATGCAAGTCACGAGAAGCTTCAACCATCTTCCGAAATTAAATCCATAATAAGTGTTCATCCGAAGGCCCAATGCAAGCACAAGTTAAATTTGAAAATCATAAAATAGAAGAGAAAGCTCAAAATAGTCCCCTCACTATTAGTAAGTATCAAATTAGACTCAAAATTTTACACCGCTCTAATTTAGTCCTTTGACTATTAAAACGTAATCCAATTTAATCCAAAGGCTGAAAAATGACATTAAAGTTAACACAAAAATTAACTGAGGGTATTTTAGATAGTGCAAGTGCATGTGAGATTACATTTCATATGTTGTTCTATTTTGTCATTTGATGAATTGTTAAATAATTGGTGGGAAATTCAAAGGGAAAAGTTCCTAATAGTAAAAATAGTTGATGGTGGAATCCAAATGTGCAAGAAAAGATTAAGAATAAGAAGATCTGTTATAAAAATTGGTTTAATTTTAAAAATTCTGATAATTGGGAAAGATATAAAGAGGCTCGTAAGGAATCTTAGAAAGCAATATGTGATGCAAAGACCTTAACTTTTAGTGATTTATATAATAGATTAGATACTAAGAAGGGAGAAATATATATGTATAAGTTAGCCAAACAAAGAGATAGGAGTAGTAAGGATTTAGTTCAAGTGAAGTGTATTAA